AAACAATGGCCCTGCATGTCAACATGGGACAGCTGTGCATCTGGGCAAATTGAATTCATTCTAGGAAAACGAAGAGTGAGCAAATAGAGCAAATCCACACAAATATGTCAAAATAATGGAGACCATGTGACAAGTGTATCATGTGCAAATTTCCCTTCATCTCCCAGATACCTACCTGACATATGAAACAAAAATCTATATAGCATTGGAGGACATTTGCTTGTATGACAGGAGCAATCATCACATGAACAGTGTTGCATACTTTTATGTAAACATGTGCTTGTCTCAGGAAGCTGCTGTCTGATTACTCATGGATCATTTTTATGTACAAAATATTTTCCTGGACACCATTGATCCAATACAGGACAACATTTTAAATCCATTCATAAATATCTACTCCAAGACAGAGAATAAAATGTCAGCTGAAGCAAAGATTTAGGTTAGAGTAAGAAAAATTTCTGAACTCCATTAACTGTTTTAATGGAAGTAAGAAAAAGGGAGGGGGGGTCAGATATATTAAAAACATTTCTCACGCCAGGCAGAATATAAGTAAAACAATGTTCTAGAATGGTTTATGAGCAATGTTCCCTCTAAGCTGTGGCATCTCGTGAGCAAAAATTCTACTTTGTGAGCTACTGGCACTAAAGCTGTGAGCAAGTGATTTGGCTGCTGCATAAATTAGTTTGCTCTGGAGCCCTCCTTCCTGAGCTGAGACAGAGATGTGTGAGCCAGAGGCTAAAAAACTGTGAGCTAGCTCACACTAACTCAGCTTAGAGGGAACACTGTTTGTGAGTCTCTGTACTTTCGCAGATGTCAGGCATTGAGTGTTCAGTTAGTTTTGTTTTTTATAGGATGTCTGCAGATAGGAAGTGAGGATATTTCCTATAATTTTATTCGAACCACAAAAGCACTGTATGAGTACCTGTGTGCAAAGCACTTCTAAGTTTTTAGAACTTTCAGTGAGAACTGCCAGATCTCACAACAGAGTAGGTGTAACGTAGTGTAACCTTGTACTTCCTCGCATACGTTCCCTAAAATATAGCCTAGGGCAACAGGAGAGCAGCTGGATATCTGGGGAGGGGATTGTATAGCTTTACTGCACCACTTGTCGGAAAGGGAGGAGGAAGAAGACGTTTTGCCAAGGCTCAGAGGCTGAAGCAATTGAAGCCTTTGTTCCTGCCACAGTTGGAGGAGCTGTAGTCTGCCTTTGCAGTCTCCCTTCTATGTACGTCCCTAGTAGGAGGAATGGACACAATGTGTGTGTGTGTGTGTGTGTAGGTTTCAAACAGCTGTCAGCTGTCTCCCTCCCCCACAATCATGCTGTATGACACAGAGGTTTGATTATTGATAGGGGGTCTTTGTTTGTGCTTATTAAGTCCACCTACTTGTTTCCAACCTAGCCTTCATATCTGTGGATTTATGTCTTGCATGAAACCATACACCTTAAGGCAAAGGTTTCAGTATACAAGCAATCCACATGGTGGATGCTCCTCAAATGCTTTAGTGACCAGCAAAACTCAGTTTGATCACATACTGTATTGTATGATCGCAAAGAGGCTAATAAATGTGTTGCTGCCTAGTGATTCACCATAATTGTAAACTGAGATTATATGAGACAGTGTTTGGGAATAGAAGATTTTTTTCATTTACCGTGAAGCTTCCTTCTCGGTGGTCCGGGAGTGGGGCGGTCCTTTAATTCCAGAACTCCTGGGACTTAGCTCCTCCCTTCCACTTGCAGGGCCGGCCAAACTGATCCTGGAGGGGAGGGGCTTGTCCTCTGGATCCCCAGTTCGTTACCAAGCCTCACGACTCCCCTCAATCTGTAGAAACTGAAAAACTAAAACCAACGACCCACTTTCCTCCCAACCGGGAACAAGTGAACTGAAGGCCTTTAATAGTTAACTTCCAAACTTTATTTGCAACAAACAAGAGCAAACAGGCAATACATGCTTACAGCCAAACTTACACCAAAAAAACGCTGTACATCTCCGTATTCAGACACCTGTCAGCCCCAAGAGATATAAGGAAACATCCCCCAATGAGTAGCGGAAGTCGTCCCCTTCAAAACAGGGTGGGCAGGACCGCCCTACTCCCGGACCACCGAGAAGGAAGCTTCACGGTAAGTGAACAAAATCTTCCATTCTCCGGTGGTCCTGGGAGTGGGGCGGTCCTTTAACTCCAGAACTCCTGGGACATAAAAGAGCAGTACTCCCCAGGGTGGGCCAAACGACTTCCGTGTCTCACAGGGCATGTTGAAGTACTCTCCTGCCAAACGCTGCCTCAGCCAAAGCCAACTTATCTATCCGGTAATGTTTAGTAAAGGAATGAGTAGACTTCCAGGTGGCTGCTTTACAAATAATATCTAAGGTCGGAAAACCCCTATACACTGCTGACGTGGCCGCTCCTCGTAAGAAGTGAGCTGTAATCCCCTCAGGGGGAACCATTCCCTGTGCCTTATAGGCCTCAATGATGCACCCCCTGATCCACCTGCTAAGGGTGGTAGTGGAAACAGCGTTACCCATCACCGATTTTCTAAAGGCCACAAACAAAGCCCCTGTTTTCCGACACCCTTTAGTCCTGTCCAAGTAGAAGCTGAGCGCCCTACAGACATCCAGCCGGTGCCAAACCTTCTCCCTCTCATGTTCGTGGTCCGGACAGAAAGATGGAAGCACAATATCTTCAGACCTGTGAAAGGAAGAGTTATCTTTAGGCACAAAGGCTGGATCCAGACAGAAGACCACCCTATCCTTATGAAATACACACAAATCCTTGTGTACAGACAGCGCTTTCAACTCTGAAACTCTCTGCGCTGACGTAATTCCTACTTCGAAGGCAGGGCCGGTAGAACTGGGGATCCAGAGGACAAGCCCCTCCCCTCCAGGATCAAGTTTGGCCGGCCCTGCAAGTGGAAGGGAGGAGCTAAGTCCCAGGAGTTCTGGAATTAAAGGACCGCCCCACTCCCAGGACCACCAGAGAATGCCCAGAAGAATCCTCTTATTGCTTTACTGAGCCAGAGTTTCTGTTGTCCAGTGGTAGACGTCTTTGATAGAGGATATGTCTATCAGTGGCTACTAGCCATAGAGACTAAGGGGAACCTCCATGTTCACAGACACTAAGGTTGCGTCACATGTGCCAGAAAAAATGGGGGGGGGGAGCGAGGCTATTTCTTCTGGAGGAATTTGACCCGCAGTTGCACAATCACACCTCCCTTTGAAGCTGCGGGTGCAGTCCATCAGTGTGTGATCAGATGCAACTGTGGGTAAGTTGTGGGGGTTTTGTGCCGTTTTTCCCCCACATGCTTAACCGAGGGATCAATGAATCGCACTTCTGCACTGGGGGCTCACTATGGAGTTTGCGATGATGCGCAGCCTCCAAAGGGGGGGGGGACAACAGCATGGAGTTGGGATGGCCTGATCAGACCATCCCAACGCCATGACAGCACGCTGGAGTGATCAGACACAGGAAAGTCCGTCCATGGCCCATCACAACTCGTTAACTACCGGATTTCCCCCGGTGTCTTTTAACTCCACTTCTGCGGTGGAGCAGAACAGGTTGCCAACGGCTGCGGGGCGCTTCCCAGATGTTGTTGTCTGATCATGCCCTTTAAATCCACCCGGCATTCGCACCTATGTTGGGTATAATTGTGCGTATGATCGCAGCCTAAGGCTCTGAGTCCCAGAGCCAGGAGGCAACAATTCAGGGGAAGGTCTCAGCCTCTATGGACTGTTGGTGGCTCTCCAGAGGAACTGGCTGGCCACAGTGTGAGTCAAGATGTTGGACTAGATGGACCATTGGTCTGATCCAGCAGGGCTCTCCTTATGTTCTTATGTTTACTGCTCTACATATTATAAAATCTTGAAAGCTTTTGCAACTTGCAGCACAGTATCCTCCTGCATTTAAGAAGTCTGTAACACCATGAATCATATCCCACATGACTACATTCACTTTCATGCCAAGACGCTACCCATCCATCCTGTCTCAAGGTGGATTTTTTTTGTCTCCTGCTTCTAGAACGGTTCAATAAATACCAGCTTTGTATGAAATATCCTCACATGGCTGTGTCTTATCAGTGACTTAAGAAAATAAAAAAGAACAAATATACAGACATATATTGGTACTTGTAAAGTTTTAATTACAAAAGAATGGACATTGTGTGAATGTGAGAGATAATATAGTACATGACAGTTGTGTTAAGTCTCTTGGCTTCAGAAATAGGCATGTGTTTCTGTCAACCCAACAGAAGTGCAAGGTTATGCATTAAGTACAACCTTTTCAAGAAAGCTACTTTATTTGCAAATAAGGAGCACCATTGGCTTTGTGAAGGCTTTTCATGCATTTGCTATATTTGGTTCATGGCAATGTTGAGCCTCACATTTTCATAAACTATTTCAATATGGCTGCATGCAGTAGACCACCTTCTGGATTAATGTTGCTGTACACAATTGCCAGCTCTCTAACACTTCAAACAAACAGAAGAATGAGGCTTTCCTTTTGAGTGGTTTTTTTTAAGATTCAGCATACTACACTTAGAGTGTGCAATTTTTTTCTATTACATATTCATCACTTCAATTAAAAACAATCCTTTCTGATGCATTATGTATAAAATGCCAGTTATTTAGCATGCAATCATCTATTTCGTTATGGCAAGAGACAGATGTCGGTGTGCTTTTTCACTGAGCTGCATTCAGATTTTCTGTTGCTTTCAATCTTTCCACGTATTTGATTTCTCTCTCTCTCTCTCTCTCTCTCTCTCTCTCTCTCTCTCTCTCTCTCTCTCTCTCTCTCTTAAAAAAACTCCTTTCCAAATTCCATCCTAAAAGTGTCAGCACTTCTTCCAGAATGTCAAGAAGAGTTTTATTTTTTCTCAGATCACATTTGAATTTTCAAGAACCTGAAATGAAGTTGCACTATTTTACTTGAAATAATTTCACTTTCTCCAGGAGACTAAGCTAGTTGTTTTTTGATGTCAGTTGTACAGAGCACTACTCCTCGTGCCATCTTTATTGCTCTTCTGATAGACTATGCTGAGAACCTGTGTCTTCCAATGCCATGTCCTCTTGGCTGGCTCTTCTGCATTCCAGTGTGTGGCTCATCAGAAGAGCATGTGTAGCTTCCAGCTCCCTTCGCTGTCTGGATTCAGTAGCATCCGTTGCTTCATGAGTCTCGGACAACTGCTGTAAGAAGAGAAATTGAGATAGTTCAGCATGTCTTCAAAACAGATATTTCAGTATAAGTGCCAAGATCCAATGACCTTGCAGAGTTTCTAGTATGTGCACCAGGGTTTTTCAAGTGCGCCCCCCCCCCCACTACAGGCCATGCCTCCTGAAAAGTCACACTGGGGAGTTAGGCAACCTTTTGGTATTACATATGATGGAGTGCAAGAGGCTGCAGTGGTAGAACATCTGCATTGCATTCAGTTCAGTCCAGCTGCTGCCAGTCAGAGTAGATAGTACTGACCTAGACAAGACATATGATCTGACTTCGTAGAAGACAGCTTCATGTGTTCAGTTGACAGCATGCCTGGAAGCTTTTGGCATACACAAAGGGCACTTTGGATCGTGGCAAAGATTTCTGGCCCAAGTACCTAAATTCCCACAATATCTACCTTTCAAGTTGCTGGTGGCAGACAAAACAGGGTGGGGGAAATGAAGGTTGAGCTTGGTCAGACACACTGGAAGCACCCAGTGGTGTTCTGAGGACTTCAGGTAATGGCCTCAGTTTATTGAGTAAAGAATTGACCCTGAAGGCTGAGCAAAATGCTCATGGGGGTGTTGTTGTTGCTGTTTGGCATGTGTGCTCGGGGTTGCCTGTCCCAACTAAGAGTTTAGGAATCTGTGCATGGCATTTGCACTACATAGCACTGTTTTATAACTCCTACAGAGTCAGGGCCAGGGAAAGAGGCAGAGTTGGCAATGATCCTTCATTCAGCTTCTTAAGCATCATTTCTGTCTTTTAAAGTGGTTTTCAATGTTTTTCTTTTTTTTACATAAAGGTAGGGTGAGAGCTGCATAGCCCATTCCCATTTGCCAAATGTATGTTATTACCTTAGCTGCGGCAGCCAAAAATATTGTTTTTGCCCCTATAGCTTCAACAGACCTGTAATATCAGTCTGCCAATATATGTCTAAGAAAACATATTGTTTGAGATGACAGTTTTGAGCAACCCATTTTTAGTTTCCCCCCCCCATCTGGCTATATAAAATAATGCAGCGTGAACACAAATTATACCCAAGTGAGCCAAACTGTGCTTTGTATGAATCTCTATTGTTTTACCACTTTGGAGTGCTTTCAGAAAGCCAAGAAAAGCTTTGGGGGGCCCCTATAGAATGGATCATTTACCGAGCTGCCATGGAACAGGTCAATCAATAGCTTTTCATAGCAATCATTTTATATCAGTGTGATTCAGTCTTACCCGTGTACTCTCCTGCATAGCACGGCTCGCTGCTCTGGCAGATGGACCCATTGCGATATTAACACTGCTGGACGACTGGGTGTCTGTGGTATTTCCTCCATCAGCAGCTGAAAGCCCAGAAATTACCAAAGCACTAGAAAAGCTTCTCTTGCCGAACAAGAGGCTGAGTGTAGAGCTGGTGGAAGAGGCCAAACTAGACCGGATCATTGCACCAGCTCTCTCTTGGACAGTGAGCTGGCCCATGGCAGGGATGGCAGGAGTTTGTGAAAACACCGAGTTTGCTGAATTGTGGAAAGAGAGCTGGCTGCCAGAAAGGCCTTGAGCCATTTCTTGGGCCGAGGTGGAAGTTTGGATGAAAGGCTGGTGACTTTCTATGATTGGACCAGAATGGCTTGAACGAGGGGGCCTTTGACTTAAAGCAGCATGTGTCTGAACAGACTGACTCCGGAATTTTCTTCGACCTTTAAGAGAGAAACAGAAAATTATTTGGGAGAGTTAAGGCTCTAGCAATATCCCCCCAAATGTACTGCCCCTATCCATTTATTACAAAATAGGAAGTAGCACATGCTATATTGATTCAATGGCAATTTAAAATGAGTATATTAAAACTGAAAGAGCTTTAAAATCTGAAAGGGCTCTAGGGCCACAAATATTGTATCTTCATTGGTAATCTGTAGTACATTGCGTCATACAGCCTAACTATAATATAGTTATAGTTATAATATATTTTTCTAAAACAATCCTGATTAGGGATGGGAATGGTCCCGCTCACAAACCAAAATTTGGGCTGAACTTGGGCTGGTTTGGCTGTTTGGGGCCAGCCATTTAAGCCTAAAAGCTGAGTGGTGCGGGGGCCACCATTCAGCTGTTAGGTTTAAATGTCTGTGGGACGACCCAATTAAGTATGAGAGCAAAGCTCTTCAGTCTAAATATATAAACAATAAACGGCAAACAGCTCAAAAAGTATAGAGTCCACAATATATAAGTGTATGCAAAAGGTCCAGAAGCATCCACAGAAGGAAGACCGGACTCAGTGGTGAGAATGAAGACGTTGTATGTTTATTCAAATAAAGTCACGTTGCTAAAGCGGTTTCTGGATTTCTTTTTCTCCTCCTTTCTAAATATTCTTCTTCAGATCAAAGCATTAATCCTGGGATGCAGGGCTTTTACAGTTTAAAGTAGGGAACACTGCAACATTTACAATAGCTCCAGTGCGTCTCCAATGGAGCTACTGTAAATGTTGCAGTGTTCCCTACTTTAAACTGTAAAAGCCCTGCATCCCAGGATTAATGCTTTGATCTGAAGAAGAATATTTAGAAAGGAGGAGAATAAGAAATACAGAAATCTCTTTATCAATGTGACTTTATTTGAATAAACATACAACTTCTACTCTACCTTCTCCACCACTGTGGAGAAGCTGACCACCTACTTTTGCATTAAAAAACGAAATAGCAGTAGGGATAAACTGTCCACCTTTGGTGTAAAACCCCCCCCCCCATATTATGGCCTTGGTTACAATGAAGGCCCTATTATGAACATTCTTAAGATAGGCCCTCCTGGCCAAATTAGCTTGGAAGTGAACTTGGAAGTGGAAATTAGCCTGGAAGTGAACTCCTAAATAACAAAACTGAGTAACTTGCTCTAGGGGTTTCCCATTAACTTGCCAATTAAACTTCTTTGGGTGATTAGATTTAGAGAACACCATCACCTTAGATTTATCTTGCTTGATTGTCAACCCTTCTGTATTACAACAGTCCAAAAAGCCCTTTGTGGAGAAATGCATTTTTCTTTAGAGGTTTAAACTGAGCAAAAATTGCACCTGGCTTAGAAAAAAAATCCTCTCTTGGCCGAAAACAGGCAGGAGGGGGGAAGTTAATTTCCAGCCTCACCTCAGCCGCCCTTTTAGAAATGCTAATAGCTCTAATTTGGAGGAATTAAGTGCTAGAAAGCCCTCAGTAAAAATCTCCTGGAGACTTCAGGAAAAGCTTCTTTCAGAGGCGGGGTCTATGGCACAGCGATGACGGACGCCTTTCCCAGCTCCCTGGGAACGCGTGCCATACAGCAGCGGGGGGGGGGTAGAGGTGCCGCTGGATCGGCACCTCCACAGGGGTTCGGGGGGAACTCCCAGGCCATAGGGCTTTTGAGGGTGAGCCTCTTTTCCTGCTCCCTGCAGGGAGATAGAGGCTCCCCTCCACCCTGACGGTCCCTCCAGCTGACTGCGTCCTCTCAGCGAGGCCATAAGCTGTGTTGATCCGGTCAAGCGCAGGAGATCTAGCGGAGGAGTGATTGGGGTCAAGATAAAGACCAACAATGAACTGTGAGTTAAGGAGCGAACTGTGAGTTAAAATGAGCGAATTGTCTTCAGAAGAGAAAATCCCCCCCCCAAGGAAAAACTTTGAGCGATCGGAATTGTGCTGAGAGAGGGACGCCTCTCAGATGCATTTACATAAGCGGAGGGGGGGGAAGTAATGATTGTAAATGGATACTTTGAAGCGAACCCCCCCCGAAACCTCTTATGCGATTGAGAGGGATGTCTCTCTGACACATTTATAAAAGTGGAGGAGGGTGGAGAGAGAGAGAGATGGTTGTAAATGGACATTTCTGAAAGACTTTATTTTTAAGCGTACAGGCCTGTTGTGGGAGATATCAATGAGCATTTAAGCGATTAAACAGCGTAAAGCGATTTTCAGAGCTGGGGAGAACGCGGTTTTATATTGAAAATAAAGCGTTAAAATGGAGGACACTCCCAAAAAGTTGGCGAAAACAACTCCGAGAAGAAGGGAAGTAGATGTTATTGCACTTATAGTGGAAGCCATCACGCCGATTCTGGAGCAACTTGTTGGTATTAATCATCAGCTTGCCAAGATAAATCAACAATTTGTGTCTCGGCTCAGTTATTTTATTATTAAAACCTAATTTCTTATTTTTCAACTATATCAATTCCAATTGTGCTTTCTTCCACCAGGATAGTTGTTCTGGTAATTTCAAATTGTCTTTTTTATCCAAAAAATCCTGGTATAACGACTCTTCTCCCACATATACATTAGGTAAGGTAAATGCCTCTAAAGTTATAATCAGTCTTGATCTTTTAGTATAAAAAATTTTATGTATAGAGTCCCAAACCTTTAATAATGCTGCTCTTAACCAATGTTGCTTAAAATATTTTTGAGGGCCTGCTTTTTCATACCACAAAAAAGCATTCCATCCTAACAGTAAATCATGGCCCTCAATTTTTAAAAGTCTCTTATCTTCTAAAGTAATCCATTCTTTGATCCATACTAATGCTGCAGCTCTATAATACAATAACCAGTTCAGTACTCCAAACCCTCCTCTTTCTTTTACATCATGTAGCATTTTCAAACTTATTCGTGCCCTTTTCCCTTGCCATATAAACTTGGATATCATCTGGTCTAATTCTTTAAACAAGTTTTGATTTTGTAATACAGGAATAGTTTGAAATAAGAACATCCATCTAGGTAAAATGTTCATTTTTATTGTAGTGATTCTTCCCATCATGGAAAGTTTCAGATTTCTCCAGTTGTCCAAATCTTGTTTAGTTTTTTGTAGCAGTGCTTTATAGTTGTCTTCATAGAGTGTACTACATTTCTCCATAACCATAATTCCTAGATATTTAGGTTTTTTTACAATCTGACATCTTGTGATTTCTTGTAACTTCTCTTTTTGTTTATCTTCCAAGTTCTTTGTTATAATTTTAGTTCTTTCTACATTTATTTTGAAGCCCAACACTGCTCCATACTCTTCAATCTTATCCATCAATGCTCCTGCTGCTTCCATTGGGTTTTCAAGTATTAATGCCACATCATCTGCAAAAGCTAGTATTTTAAAGTGTTCTTTCTTTACTTGAAGTCCAGTTATTTTATTCTCTCTTCTAATGGCTTCATTCATAGCTTCCAGTACCATAATAAACAAAAGTGGGGACAAGGGACAACCTTTAACAGCAGAAAACAAAGTGATAAAGAAAATATATAAGATCTTATTGGATGATGTGATGGTTGATGAAATGGTGAAAAAAAAAAATGATTGTATGGGCCCAGAATATAGGCCGTAATATTAATTTAGATGAGTGGGAGCAGATTTGGCTGAAAAATATAA